ATAACAGACACACATGATGATGATAATCATAACAATAATAATGATAAAGATGATAACAGTAATAATAACGGACAAAGTGAACTGGTGAATAATAGTGTTTATGGGTTTCTTTATAGACGACGTAGTCATCATACTGGATAGTTTGCTTTAAGTCTCCAAAATTCTGCGGAAGGTTGTCTGAATGATATACGATATAAACACGTAAGCAAAAATTAAGTACTTTGGAAAATAAGACAGGAAGACAGGTGTCTAGAGGTTGCAAGACCTGACAATATTGCATAAATATTATCTCTAGTTCTTTGACACAACTATTGTGCCTAGACTTAACTGTATTAGAGTCTGTTGATATGTTGAATGAATGTCATTTGACATGATTATTACATGCTGACTGCTGGCTGCAGCACAGCAGAAGTGGCTTTGTGCAGCCTCACCTGGCACTGAGGTGCAGAGAACACCTGCAAGCGACTATGCTTATGAATAACAGTATAATGTAATTCTGATAACTGGGCGGACATATATCATATATGCTAGCAAGGTACTACTTAGAAGACCGGTAGCACCACTCTGTCTTGATGAATAGCCTAGTTGGCAGCTGCCGAGTTAAACCTCGCCTCCTTTGCCAATGTTGATATGGTGTCTTTGTTTTCTTTATCTTTTTCTATTTTCATTTGTTTGTTTAGTATTGTTATTAATTAACAGTTTTTTTAAAGAAAATATACCGAGAAAGTGTTTTTCATAATATATCGCACATACTGACAGCCATGAAAATGAGGCAGAGGTAAATGACGTCACCGTCTTTAGCCAATAATGCGTGGTGAGATAGCAAGAAAGATTTACTCGATGTAGTTATGATTACCAGGAGTAAAGCAAAAATCTTAAGATTTTATTCAAGACAACGAAGAGCTCCATTCCATAAAAAGCCATCAGAACACTCTAGGAAAAAGACAGTTTCACTTTGGGATTCACCATGTTAAATGGAAGTGGTAATCCTCAGGTGCTGGAGGGTTGCGACCCTGCACCACTCGTAATTTTTAAAAATAATGTTCGTGGTAATAATAATTTCGCTCACATGACATGTGCCCTACATAAAACATTTTCTTCTCTTTCTTTACCCCTATGCCATCAGATATTGTTGAGAAGTGGACAATCTGCTATGTGCATCTCACATGATCCCTGTTTTTTTCTGTAAAAACAAACTAGCTGATCAGAAGAGGTAATGAATCTGATCATGCTGGCACATTCCAATAAGCAATTTCAATAATTCATTAAAATGCACCTTCTTTATGCAGTTGATTAAAAGTTATTGTTCTTATATACAAATACAAACCTCATTCTCACCACCATGCAGTTCTTAAAAAAGACAACCGCTTCTCACCTGTACTTCTTCTGTATCTTAGCTCCGATCTCCTTATGGAAGTCGTAGACACTCGTCTTATCGGTGCTCTCGAGCTTATCCTTGAAGGCCGACAGGACGCGGTCGAAAGGATGTCTGACGAAAAGGAACTTTTTGTACGTCGCGAGCGCCTCGTCGACCATCGCCTTCTGAGAGGCCAAGCTGGGGACGGAGGTGTGCACGGTGTACCTGGGGGCGAGGCGAGTGGGACTGAGGGAACGAGGCTGCTGAAGGGGATTTACATACCACTTTACATGTATTTCTTATTTATCTGTCTACCTATACGACTCCTTATTCATAGGTAAACCAATATCTATTAATCTAACCCTCTGTCTAGTTCCACATGCTTAATGCTTTGTCTGTGATCAAAAATTCAAATGTCGTAACGCAGAAGAAAATAAATAGCGCCTCGGCAATTCACCAATGACACTTCTTTGGACTCGGGCGATTGATGACAGTTTTACCATGACAGGTAAAGCTTTGCATTAGATATCTGCAGTCCCATCAGTCCTTTCACAATCAAGGTTCATAGAAGTTACGTTTTATAAAATAGTAACATTTTCAAATCACATATGAGCGATGCAAGCTTTCAAGCCACAGTGACGGAAGCATTATCGGAGCGCTGTGTTGCTGTAGCATGGTATGATTTTTCGGTTATTTTATTTATATCCTAATGTTAGTACGTCTCTTTAGCGCGAATTTGAAATGGGTCAGAGTCTCCTACAGATCTGAGGTTAAGCTTTCCCTTCGCATAACTAAGCCTTTGATGATTATTATTATATTTCTATTTATATGTAAAAAAATACTTCAGTATTTAAATTCAGTTGCTGGTGACTTTTTAAAAAAGTTATAATCATGAATATAATGAAAATGACATCTATTTGATTAATTAAGGTGATTAATTAAGGTCTTCATTACGACACATATAGGAAAGGTATGAATGAGGTTTTATGAAATGTATGTTTGTTGACATGAACGTGTTGCATCGCATTCCTCGAGTAGACTCAATTAATCGCAGAATCATGATTAAAGATGCCAATTAGCAGGATCGTGACGGCACTTATGACTCAGGTTGGTATCAAAACGCGCAACGAACGATTGAAAGTC